AGGACAAGCCAGTCATGTGGTCGGATGCACCTGAGTCTATCATCCAACAAGGTTCAGCGTTACCTGGGGCTGAGGCATGATATGTTGAAGCCCGTGTACCTGAATGAGCAAATGCTGAAGTGGGAGTAGCAGATGTTGTGACTGATGGCTCAGATAATGGTGCTAAGTTGCCAACTTCACTCTCCAACTGAGTAAGAGCAGCCCGGACAGTAGCTAAGGTGTCCAGGGATGTGGCTCTTGTGTTAGATGAAGGTGCACCATCAGTAGTAACAGCCACATTGGCATTTCCCCATTTGTTTTTGAGCTTTGCTGGAACTAGATGTGGATGCAACTTCCAACATGTGTCTTTAGTATGTTTTGGTTTCTTTCAATGTTCAGATACTAGCTCTCTCTTATCTTCCTTCTTCATATCCCTCTCCTTATCACCTCCAAACTTTGGCAACCGTCATAAACTTAGGGTTTTAAACCTAGAACTGGTCGTAGGTCAAGAAAGAAACCCTAAAAATCAGAAGAAAAATAGGAAACTCCTAGTTGCACCTCCCAGATTATTCAAAAAATTTTTATTAAGGTCAATCTCAAGAACAAACAACAACTTAGAAAAAATCTGGCCGCCACCTCCAAACCACAGTCTGAACCCTAATCTTGAGGTTTCTTCCCTTCTTCTGATTCTTCCTGATCACTGGACACCCTCCAAGGCTCTACGATCCCTTGGGCATCAGCCGCACATTGCTAGCAACCTCCAAGAATTAGTCGATGGTCTTACCTCTGTTGGAACTTCCAACCCTAGGAAGTTCTCATGTAGTCGGCCTGATTAGACTCACATGAGAAGTCCTAAGTTGGCTTTGATACCAAGTTGTCTAGTAGGACTGAAATCAGTCCTAGTTATAATGTACAATAAACAAGAGAAAAAGGTTTGAGAATGACAGAAGAAGAAATAGAAGAAAAGGAGAAGACGAAGGGAGGAAGTCAAAAAGAGTGGGTTATGACATGAATTGTCGCCCCACTCAGCTACTTGTATTAATAGTTAAAATAGGGGAAAAAACCAGAATTAACCCTACTGCTTACATAAGCACAGAAATAAGAAATATAGCAAACTGAAAATAACTACCAACTACCACTAACATAAATAAACAAACAGTAGTGGGGACCACATAACAAACATAGTGGGGACCACATTAATGTTCTCTACAAGGGGTTAGGAGGAGGAAGGGGAGGAGGATGAAGGGGAAGGGGGGATCTCATTTTTTCTTTATTTTTGATAAAAATCTTTTATATTAAGAAGAATAAAGATGCATAGCATTAGTTGAAAGGGGAGGAGGGTGAAGAGGAAGGGGGGGTCTTATTTTTTGCACTTGAGGTGTACGCCTCAGAGGTGTCAGTGCCTCTGGCATATGCCTTGGGGCGTTTTGGGAGCGCCTCGCCTGGAGTAGTGTTTTAAAAGTGAAAGGTGAGGCACGTGCCTTTTTGAGGCAAGGTGCACAATTAATAAAAAAGCTAAAAGAAAAAAAAAAGTCAAAAAATTCAAAAATAATGCCAAAAAATTCAAAAAATTATAAAACATAGTATTAATAAAAATATAAACTTAAAATTTAAAATAAATGTTTTAAAAAACCTATTATCTAAAATTAAAATACATAAACATAATATGTAAAGCATATTCAAATGAGAATTTAAAAATGAAATCAAACATATAAAACATTTTCAAGCATATAAAACCCACAATCTCTTTTTTTCTCAATTAAATCAAGTAGCTAATGTGACATATTACATTCCTAATTCTATGAGCCACCTTTGTGCCATGCCCATCAAGGCAAGCCTAAACAAGTCCATGTTAGGGTTTTAAATTCTGAGTTTTCACACAAAAAATAATGATTTTATAGTTTTAATTGCTTTTAAGAAATTTTATTAGGATGAATGAATGGATAGCATTACCAAATAGGGGTTCTCGAAGCTTCGGTTCAGAATTTAAGACCCTAACATGGACTTGTTTGGGCTGGCCTCAAGTGGTGTGGCACGGGGGTCCGGGGGCGAGGTCCGGGGGCGGAGCCCTCGGCCCAACCGCTAGACTCAAAAAAAGGAAACAGCGTCAAGCATAGTTTTCAAGGCGCCAAGGCGAGGCTAGGCGACTGGGGGTGCTTAGTCGCCTAGGCGGGCACCTAGGCGTTGCCTAGGCGATAGATTTTTTATGTTATAAACATAGATCCTAGGGTAGTTCCCTAGGTACCATAACCATATTTCTTTAATAATTATTCATGATTTTCATAAGAAAAGTATAAATTTCATATTAAAGTATAGAAAATCAACATATTCATGAGAAGAAAAGGAAGGAAAATAGAATTAAAAAATATAGGGGCTGAACCCTTATTTTTGTAATAGGAAAAGAAGAAAATAAAAAGTATTGGTAGTAGTAGTAGTAGTAGTAGAAGAAGAATAATATATGTAGGAGGAAAATGTGCTGATTAGATAATTTTTTAGTTCTTCCTTACTTATTGGTTCAGGTTTTCAAGTCTTTGAGGGTTCAATACAGCATTTAGCAATGTTTGTGTTGATTAAACCCTAATAAATAAGAAAATAATAAAAAGAAATTAGTATATAAACACACAAAATGATTGTTTTAGTTTAATAAGGTCTATTTTATAATTCATCAAAAAAATAATGTCTATTTTATAATTATAATCTCAAAAAAGAATGAATAAAAAAGTATTTTATAGTAGGAAGTAGAAAACTGTTAGGCGATTAGGCGAGGCGAGCCTCAAAAGGCGTCTTGTCGCCTAGGCGTCGCCTTGACAACTATGGCATCAAAGTTTTCAAAAGGCGCACGCCTGGGCTAAGGTGCAAGGCGCACCAGGCGTGTGCCTTTTGAATGGGCTGCGCCTAGGACCTAGGCGAGGCGCCTACCCTAAAATGTGCCTTGCTTGTGTGCCTAGGCGTTCCTGAGGCATGCTCCCATGCCTTTTAAAACACTGGTAGGAATCACTCCATACAGCAAAAGAGTTCTAAAGAAATCTTCACTCATTCATTAGCTTCAAAAGGAAGAGAATACATCTATTTATAGAGTGACTTGTGTGACCTAGAATACTGTTCACCATAATTACAAAAATGCCACTCCTTGTCTTGTGCATCAAGAAACACAATAACTTTCTATCTACTAATGCAAACACACTGAAATTTGAAAGACAATCCGTACTAAACTAGAGAACAAGTTGTTATAACCCAGGCCCCCACAGGAGTAGTTAAAATGACGAAAATACCCATGCTGTTCAAATATACAAAAATACAGAAAATTTCAGAAAATTCCAAATTTGACTCTTCAGCCCCTGCATTACTTTCAGTCCCATGTGAAGAAAACCATTTTGTAATTTTCCATGACGATCTGCTATACTTGCCAGAACAAGGAAGAGGGAAAGGAAATAGACGGTAAAACTAGACTGGTACTTTTAACCATGTGATGTGTAGCTTCTTTCTGGGTCATTTATATCATCCAAACAAGCAAGACAGCTATATAAACATGGTTGAAACCATTTGATTACATTGATGTTTGGCATATAGCTATATAGCAAGTTAACCGTATGGATAACTATGGCAGACTCCCAATACATTTTATGTACAAGCAAGACAGCTATATAAAGAGTCTGACTTCCTATGAGCTTTATCCCAACTAACTCCTGGTCTCGATAAGCCGTCTGCTAGATCATTATGCTCTTTGGTTAACCATCTTAAATTGGTTTTGTATGTCACTATGACCCGAAGTCTGCCTGATTTCATTGAGCATTAAAGTTTCCTCCAGGGCCCTTTACTGGATCCTTTACCCCATTTTATGGTGTTTATCAAACTCCCTCTCGTCAGTATTAATGCAGGTTTTCTCAAGATGGTATCCCTCAGGACAAAAGAGCTATTACCTCAGCTTTGATAATATCTATTGCTGTTGATTGGACCACTAGAATCTCAAGTGATGCTTCCTTTCCTACCAGACAGCAGACCACCAACACAAGGTGCCCAGTTACCCAATCTGCTGCAATCAAATCTAAATCAGAGTTATTTTCTAAAATTGTAGTTGTGGGCCACCACAGCTGAAATGCAGGGAGGTAAGGACTGCAGTATTAGTACAGGATTTTTACATATGTTGTCATGTCTGATGCCATGAAATTTCTTGCGGACTGATGCCATGATGCCACTGAGATTTTAGATGTTTGTTTAGTATTTTTAGGTGGCCATTAAGCTAAGCCTTTGAATGAAGAAGAAAATGGGTTCTTTCCTTGTACTCTATTTCAGGTGCACCTCTTTCTAGGGATTTATACCTAGGTTTTGGTTTGGTTTTCAATTATTGCTTCAGGTTTAGACGGGAGGATTGGCTGTCTCCATCAATTTATGTTTAAAATGACATTATATGCGGTGTTCTTTCATTTAAATGAAATGATGGAATTCATCAAAGTTTAAAATGTCTATGTCGGTGGAATTCTTGGTTATCCAAATATAACCAAGATTGTAAAAATTCATCAAGGTTTAACATGTTGGAAAGTCAGAAATATCGTATGGAAATATTGTAAAAATTATAGACATGGTGGAAACATTGTAAAATATGCAGAATATAGAATGATATTTTATGAAATGATAAAATAAGCATAGGCACACCTTTTTAAATCATTATCTTGTTCCAAATCATTAAACAAAGCTAAGAAACTAAGGTTATAGACAAAAGAATACATTCTGAAGTTGCCCTGTAAACCACAAGATTTAGAGCTTCATGATAGGATGAGTTGAAATGGAAATGCTGATTCCAGTAAAATTTCGTGTCGCTACCCATGGAAATGGAAATATGTCATGGAAATATTAGGGAAATTAAGGACATTTTAAACCAGGAAATTCATTGTCTAAGGTGCTTGCTTGATTTCTTTTTCTCTGGGAAGAGAGCATGTGGTTCCTTATCATTTAAATGAAACTTAAATTGTCTTTGATGAGCTTATGTTATTCATTCATTTTCTTTTCATCACTCTTTCCAGGGGAATATGTCGGTCTTACAGGAGCCAGGTTGGATGGGGTAGAAATGCTTGCTTGTGGCCTGGCAACTCACTTTGTCTCTGCCATGGTATACTTCTGATTCAATTAAACCCTGTTAATTAAGTTTCTGAACTACAAAACTTACAGAAAGATGTTTTGTGTGGCTTTACCCTCCTGTTTGAGAAAGATGATAAATTTGTCAATCATTTTGCATTTGAGTTCTTCTGCCATTCTTAACAGTTGTACTAACTATACTGTCTTTCTCATTATTCAAGCTCATAAACTTTTTTCTTGTGAAGTCTTCACTGCCTAAAAAGAAAACCTAACTTCCTAATGATTTGAACCTTTCTTTCCTTTACTACATTTATATCCATCTTGTAATAGAGTGCACTTTCTTTAATTGGGTATAAAATCAAGCAATCACATCAAAGAGTCAAGTTTCTAATTACTTAATCAATGACTTTGAAATTTTGGGTACAATTAAACTAATATAGTAATAGATAAAGTTGAAACTGAGTACCGATACAATAATGCATAAAGTTCCAACTAATAGGCTGAAATCCACATTACTATGTAAAATGACCGAAATACCCCTAATATCAAAAGACTCCATATCTGAATGCTTAGCTCCTGTGTGTGCCTCTCTCTTTCTCCTCATTTTTAGATGATCCACTAATTATGTGGTTATACTGCTAAACTTTTTATTGTGATATTTTTAATAGTTGGGAATAAATGTCTAATCTTATATACTATATGCTTAGCTTGATATTATGAAATCTACATAGTTAAAGTGCTCATAGACTTTTTCTCACAAAGCCCCATGTAATCTGTACCAGAAAATTGAGTTGGTTTCAACTTTCAATTATTGAACCTGGTCCTTGGTCTCTGTTTTCCATAGTAGATGACCTCCCTCTATTTTAGTACCCTTATTAGAACAGGGATACTTACCAAGTACCAACCTTGTGATGCCTCTCTCTCTCTCCCTCTCTCTCTCTCATGTGTTCATGTAAAAAATGCTTTTGTAACTTGTCTTCTATCAGTAAACAGAGATTGCCTTTGCTAGAAGAAGCATTGTTCAAGGTGAATACATCTGATCCAGCTGTTGTTTCTGCAATTATTAGTGAATTTTCAGAGCAGTCTTCTCTGAAAGCAACAAGCTCTTACCACAGGTAAATCTGGTATCAAATTCTTGGTCACATGGTGTCTGAATTTATACGCATATGTAACTTTGTTATTGTTTCCTAATCTGGGGTTATAGGTTGATTGGATTAGCCGAGTGAGAGAAATAAGAGATTAACCAACCTGTTAGGTGTCTCTTCTTAAGGATTCCAAAGGAACTCCAAACCAGCAAAACTGAGATATTTTGTGCTGATTGAAGCATCCCATAAAGGAACTCCAAACCAGAGCTCAAACAGAAATGTTGAGTTTCTCGAGATTACCCTTCAATCTTGAATGAAAAACTGAGATTATAAGCTGGTAGAGGACCTGCTCTGATACCATGCAAACCCTCCTTACCAAAGTGAGAAAAGAACTTAAAACAGATTCAGGGGTATCTAGAATGAGTCGAACCCCAGCCTACAGAGCCCTCTTTATTTTAAAGAAATGTATAATTACCATGGTTTTGAAAACCGGACTGAAAATGGAACTACCTAATAAGATACATCAAGTCACAGAATCTCCACATTGGCTACACTTGATGGGGTGTAGGGCACATACCTAATTGTACTGTATTGTTTTCCTTCAATTCATAAAGTTTAATACTTGTTGGCTGTCACTGATAGAAAAAGGAAGGGGTGATTTTAACAATTTAAAGAGGGGAGGGAGGGAGAGAATAATTTGGCTTTGTCAGACATCTTATAACTTTTCTTTCAACAATTATGACATATCTTTACTATGGTTTTCAAAATCTTCTCATGTTGACCTTACTCTGCATTTTCTGGAAGCTAATATCAGTTTTTTCCTGGTCACAGACAAGATATTATTGAGAGGTGCTTCTCTAGAAGGACGGTTGAAGAAATTTTATCTGCTCTTGTAAGTTAATGAAGTGGTTTGTTGATATCCTTTACATTTGTCATGTTAATTGATTGTTTCATCCTTCCGTTGTTTTTGTTTCCTGCACTTTCACTGTTTGGTGCGATCTAAGTTTCTTTATATTGCCAAAGTGGATTCATTTGGTTTTTGTAGGAGGAAGAGGCTGCAACTGGTGCTGACAAGTGGTTATCTGAAACAATTCAGTCACTGAAGAAAGCATCTCCGACAAGTCTTAAAATTTCTCTGAGATCGGTATTGTCATGCATATCCTCTAGATAGTTTCATCAATTTTAATTTAAATGTCAGTTTGATCTGATTAGATATAACATAGTAGAACTGTACTGTTTTGCTAAAAGTAACAGAAGAATCATTTTAATCCATATTATAACAGTTTCATGTATGAATTCATGTGAATGGTCTGATTGTTATTTTCTTATTGGATGCAAATTTAAAGTTCTGAAGTTCAAAGCATAAAGGATCATTTTATATATGCTAATATTCGTCTCAAGTTACTTCCTTTCCTGCAATTCCAGATTAGAGAAGGAAGGTTGCAAGGTGTTGGTCAGTGCCTTATTCGAGAATATAGGATTTGCTGTCATGTTTTAAGGCGAGATGTCAGCAAAGATTTTTTTGAGGTTTGTGGAGTTTGATACAAATTGTTTCTCTTGCCTTCTCATAAATCATTCTAAAAATGGATACCATGGTTCAAATGCAGGGGTGCAGGGCGATACTGTTGGACAAGGACAAAAACCCCAAGGTCTTTTCTTTGTTTCTGTTTTTTTTTCGATAGTTAATTTTGAATAAAATGAAAAATATGCAACTCCTGTTTATAGTAAAATCCTTTAATATTTTATTCTTTCAGTGGGAACCCTCTCGATTGGAGTTTATCAGTGATGATATGGTGAATCAGTACTTCTCCAAGGTGGAGGATGAGGAATGGGAAGATTTAAAGCTCCCGGCTAGGTTCAACCTGCCTGCTTCTGCCATGGCAAAGCTTTAAGCTAGATTCACCAGTTATTGCCCATTAAGCAGGGTACTTGGTTTGAGATTCAATGTGCAAATGCTGCCCATGACCTTGCTGATTGGGACATTTATTGTGCACTAGCCTAGTGCTTGAACTTGTCAGTTGAATAGGTTTAATTTCACATCCATGTTCCTGTTGTCTCAAAGATGAATGAAGAAGGTACTAATCTTACACATCTGGCATTGTTTTTTTATTTTTATTTTATTTTCCTTCAAATAACTTTAAAATTAGGTTAATCGAATAGGAATCGGGAATGTAGGTTTCTACCAAGGGATTTGATATAAGTTATTGTCCTCCATTCGACTGCTATGCTGACGAACATTGCTCTTCGTAAGACATAAGATGGGCCATACTTTCCGTCTTTAATGGACTTTTTAGCATTATATTGTGACTAGTAAAAAATAGGGCCGACTTTTATTTCACCTTTTTTTTTTATTTCTTTTTTGCGGTTGGAAGAATTTTGCAAGCTGATATAATGTCAATTGATCCTCAGGCCAAGGTTCAAAGTATCGGCTGATACATATCATTTCGGGCTCCTCCGATACATCCCTACAGTGGGTGTATTAGAGGTCTGACCGGTTCAGGGGGTAGAGGAGACCTAAATCGGCCCCCTTGAATCAGTTGCGAAAAAAATAAAAAAAGGGGTCAAAATGTGTATTGATTTGCCCGATAAGCCCCTACCGGTATATCGGACGTATCAATATTTTGAACTTTGCCTCAGGCCGCAGTACGAGGCATGGAGCCATGGACCCACTTCAATAAAGCAGCAGTAGCATGGACTCACCTATATACATTGATTTCACACTCAAGGCTCAAGCAACACTGATAGCATTTGGTTATCAACTAACCATCAATCTAAAGGTTTATGGTTTAAACTTTAAAGTATCGAGCCAAGGTTCAAAGTATCAACACGTATCGGTCGGTATCGGCCAATACGTATCGTTTCGGGACCCTTCCGATATGCCCCTAAGTGGGTGTATCAGGGGTCTGACCGATTCAGGATGTGGAGGTGGTCTAAATCAGTTCTCCTGAACCAGTTGCGGAAAAAAAAAATAATACAAAACTGTATTGATATTTTGAACCTTGTATTGAGCCACTAAAAGCATCAATACTCTTCTTTTTATTTTCAGTGCAGTGACTCCAACCTTTTGGCTCAGTTTGGAAGGAGTATGAATAGTGCAAATACATATAAAATAATACAAAATATAAGATTTTGCATTCTAGATATTTGTATTTGTACTCCTTCAAAAGCCTTTCGGAAAAAATATGCAGAAAAGGTTTTAATGTTTAAACTTTAAACGTATGGAGCGCCCCTAAATCCATATATTTAAGTATTTAACGTTTCGGCGCAAACCGATACTATCATATGATATGTACCAATTCTTTGAACCATCTCAGTATACTCGAGTTAGCACAGTCAGGTCAGCTGGTTCATCCAACCGTTATCTTGCAAAGTCTATTTCTACATACTCGGTAGAAGTCATTGTTTTCCAAATTTCTTACACAGCCACCGACCTACAATGATTATAGGTGGGGAGGCAGTACAAGTCTTCCTCAAAGATGATGGATGGCCTTAGGAAGAGAGAGGAAGAAAGGTAGAGTTTGCAGAAGTTGAACAAGAATGTAACAGCGTTAAAAGTATCAATACATATTGGCCTGTATCAATCAATATGTATCATGTTGATGGTTTCCTGATATTTTCCTACAGTTGTATTGGGTCAGACCATGGTTTAAAGGGTAGTTGGGACTTAAACTGATCCCTCTAAACTATTTAAAAAAAAAAAAAAAAACATAAAAAGCACTGCCGTATTGGCCTGTGTCAATAATTAGAACGTTGGAATGTAGAGGGTTTTGGGTTTATGTAGAGGATTTGCAGAAGTTGAAATATTTGAGGCACAGTCAGATAGAGTTCTCGCAAGAGATCGGCATTGGATCTATATAGAGGGTTTCGGGTCTCGTCTATTTATAAAGGAGAACCTTTAATGGAATAGGAAGTTACACATTGGAAAAAGGAGACTTTTCCTAGAACGGAAGTTATATTTTAGGTAGGAAGCTCACAAGTAGGGTTTTGCACGTGTTATTGTGGATATTCCGGGATAAGCTCTTGCCTTTTTCTTCGAGTTCGCACATCAACACGGGTTTGGCTACAGTCTTGCTTCTGAAATTTCTCATGCCTTAGTTGTTTTGGTTCAAGTGTCAATATGCTGATAATTTGTCATAGTTTTTAACTTTTTATACGGGTTGAATAGCCGCATTGTAGCACTCAAATCGCATTGTATTATTGTTAGGGATGGCAATTTTTTTCATTTTCCTAATTTCTATGGGGATTCGGAAATGATTTTTCCTCATGGGGATGGGGATGGGGAAATTTTCATCCTTGTTAGCAGGGACGGAGAGAGCACTCCCCACTAGGGGTGTTCACGGGTCGGGTTGGGTCGGTTTATTGGGGTTTTCCCAACCGACCCAACCTGGTCAGGTTACTTGAGGTGGAAACCGAAACCGACCCACTGATAGGCCAAGCCGACTTGGTCGGTTTGAGTCGGGTTGGATCGGTTTGGGTCGGTTTCGGTTTTGCTTCTGTACAAAAGGACACCTAATTGAATTCTAATTGTAATTGCCTAATGGGTTGCCTATTTGGTATAAAAGATTATAGAAAATTAGAAACTATAATAGATTGCCTATTTTAATTGTAATTGCTTAATGAGCCTTCTAGTTCTAGTAAAAGTCTAGTTATAGTTAAGTAGGAAACTTCTCAAACTAGGAACTACCGAACTAGTAAAAGACTAGTTCGGTTCGGGTCGGGTTAGTTTCGGTTTTCACACAAGAAAACCGAAAACCGACCCGATATATCGGTTTATATATTTGCCCAACCCGAAACCGACTGGTATTGATGAAAACCCGGCCAACTCGGGTTGGGTCGGTCCGGGTTGGTCGGTTTGGTCGGGTTGGGCATTCTTATGAACAGCCCTACTCCCCACCCTATGGGGACCTCGATTCCTGTCCCATAGGATCCCCAATATATATATATATATATTACATTATATATGATATATGTATATATGTACACATATATCTATATATTAATATTTTAAAAAATATGATTGAATATGTTTGAATCTTTTCTAATAGGATTGTAATTTTTAATTAATTTTTATTCTTTTTAAATAAAATAAAAAACAAAAACAAAGTAATTAACATTATAAAAAATCATGGGAAATGAGGATCCCCGCTGAGATGGGAATCTCCGTGGAGACGGAGATGGGGATAACCTTGTCCCCGTTAGTAGGGATGGGGAGAGGCTCCCCGTCCCCGCCGCCCCACCCCGTTGCCATTCCTAATTGCTGTTCTATAGCATTTTGGTGGTTTATCATGCGAGCAAAGTTTGGCTAAAAGTGATAGCTATTCAACACGCAGTGGAACCAATGATGAGATTTCACGCTAATATTTAAATATATAAGGCCCACACCTTTCACGGTGGGCGTATCATGCACCGGATCGCTGAACAGCCATCAATTTTGTGCCGCGATGATGGTTCCGTGTGTGTCGTCATTGTGCGTCCTCGTTTAGGCGTTAAGTGCGCCTATGCTGTAGGGATCGTTAAGCTATCAACCATCTGAATGTCTTTTAGGGGAGCCTCTTAAATATGGGAATCTGGGTTTGTGCTGCGATGTGGGGGCACTGTGGTCACTTTTTGAGTGACTACAGTGTACACCCGGTCTTATCCTTCGTACATGGAGCAATTGCTCTAAAAAAATAACATTATCAAAATGTAAAACGGATTTGAAGACTTCGGCCATGGATTATTGCTTATACAAGATGAAGACTGGGAATCATCAAGACGAACAGCTGATTGCTTATACAAGGAGCAAAACTCCATCTAAGATTTAACTTAAACGGCCATGGATTTCTCGACAGTCATATTATTCCTTCTTAACAGTAGAAAGGTGGCAATAATTTCATACCTGCGTTTCTTTTTCCTTGTTGGTTGTGTTTTCATGTTTGGGTTCCGCAATTCCATGGATAATAATGCAAGTCCGGATTTGGTCTCAATTCCCACCATCTAATGCATCTGTACATTTCTCGCCTTGAATGATCAGGTAGAATTATTTTTCGGAAAAGTACGTACAGGCCTAATGCAGATTTCTGAATTTCTTGCAAATTTATAAACATCCAAAGTCAAAAAGCCACATTATATGCACCCATACTTATCTCTGCATCAATTTCGAGCTGGCACCCACCCCAACTGTACTTTAGGCCTATGAATTCTGACCGTGACTGAACCGTCACTCTCCCTTTACTTTTTGTATTAATCACTGTCTTCACCCTCACAGGGGTTGTTACTCTTTTTAAGTGAAAAGTGCAACATTACCTCAATATCTTTTTTCTTACTGAAATGATAATAGTGAGATTCAAAACCGCACCACTAATGAGACAATTCATCGAGCGCACCAACTGGACTATCTCTCAATTGGTAAATGACCAGGTAGATGTTCCCAATATATATTCTTCTCAGTCCCATTTCACCCACCTAGTTTTTGGAACCGGAAGGTAGAATGCCAGAGTGCACCACACGATCCTTTTCCTGCATTTTGGCTTCACCCCATCCGAACACAACCTTTATTCTTCTTCCTTTCGTGGTGTGATGTCATACTTACGTTGTAAGTTGTTTATCCAAGTGTATTAGTGGTTTTCCTATTTTCTTTTTGTGGGTGATGCCATCTTACTAGTCTTATTCAACACTGGATGCTTTTGCTTATTTCACAATTGAAAATATCAAGACACCCATGTGGGATGTCAATTTTGCAGGGAAAACAAACTTCGCTAGGCATCCATGTCATGAATATAAAAGATTACACAAATTGATTAAAGCCAGAATGATAAAAGGGTCTACTGAAGTGAAAACTACAGTTCTGAAAAGTCAGCACTTATTGCAGTTGGACATACTGAGTCTCTGGTACTCATAGGGCAAGGATTATTAGATTTTTCTCCATTTATCAATTAGATTCTTCTTTAATGTGACAGATTGTGCCAAGAGTATGATTGGCTATGGAGGACTCGTATGTATATATTTGAATAATCACATATTTATCGTTATGATCCAAAAAATCGAGTCTCTGTTCACATCCGATGACTCCAAGAAGAGAAGTGTGCCTTCTCATTTCATGGGTTCTGAAATGAGATTTTCTTAATCAAAATTCCACCTGATTCAAACGCATGCAAAACCATCAAATACAGTATTCTTTGGAGGTAGTCAGGAAGAACAAGAAAAATGGTTTATTTGTCCATAATGTTATCCTTTTCTAATTGAACTAGTTCTGCCATCTTTCCCATAATGTAAAGAAGCATTTGACTCAGATTTAATCACTGTATCACAACCAACCTGTAACCAGAAGGTTCTCAGTCATTACATTCATCTCCAAATCCTCTAGATTTAGGGAGCTTTAAGCTCTGAAGATATGCAGCTTCTTCACATCATTCAGGTTGGTGATCCTTTGGTCTTTCTTAATACGTCTGAGAGCTGTATTTATTATTATTATTATTATCATGTGGATCATTCTACAGTTTCAGAACAGAAAATATTGGTAGTGCATGTATGATCATTGATACTGATACAGAACAGACATAAAATTAGAAGAAAACCAAGTACTAATATCTAAAATTTCCAATACACTCACAACCTAGCAGTCATCTCATAGGATAATACTCACACATGCCAAAACTGCTTATTCAATACAAGGCCAAATAAGAAAAAGAACTCTATACATTCAGCTTGGAGGAACATTGCCCACTTGCTGATAAGAGCAATTACATGATATGCCGTGCGAAGAAAGAATGAACTCATAGAGGTCTGTATTTACTGGCTTTATTGCTTGAGTCTTAGTTATTGAACTTCTGCTCGGTAGTGCTTGGTGAAGCCTGCATTGTTAATTGGTACATATGTCAAAAACACAAACAAGATCATGTGTTTCCAAGGAGTTCACAACTGCTGCAACTGTGATAGCAGGACTCACTTATGATCCCCCAATGAAGCATGATCATGCCAGCAGTTGAAAAAATATTCAAGAACATCATGTGAAATGAATTTCTATTTCAATTTCTGGTGTGCCTGTGTTTCATTGAAGGTTGCAAGGGAGTGCTGTGACCATGTACTCTCATTCTTTGTTAGACCAGATTACAATTCATGTTATTGTATAACAAAAGATTACACTCACAAAGGAGAAAAAGAAAAAAGAAAGGGGGAAATTTGTTGGGAGTTGACGAAAGGTTAAAGAACCAACATATTATGATAAAATTTGTTCTTATCTACCTGAGGCCATAAGCACAATCCTCCCTTGTTGGACTGGAGTGGAATCCTACCAACATACTACATGGAGGCTCTTTCTTTCTTTCTTTCTTTCTTTCCTTTTCTTTTTTCGTTTTGACATCAATTAACATGGCTATTTCCTATTTCCTAAAACAACTTCATCAGTGCACTTGCATTTTGAAAGATATCCTTTCAAAATGACAGGATTTTCTCCAATCTAAGTGGAGAGGATTTGAAAGCCTTATCACAGTGATCACTATCAAATGAAGACACACATACCTAGTGAGTACCTCAACATGGGATTGTAGCACATAACAGTACAAGTATGAATGTGTTATATATTTGGATGCAAGAATTTACTTGATATATAAAGATGATAATATTCAATAATTTGGACTCCACTGAAAAAACTGGAAAGACTGAAAAGATAAAACTAGAAGAAGTGGAGTGATAGTGCCTGTTGGTGCCCTGTTGAATAAAGGAAGTACAGTGGTTTTGTGTTTTTGTGTTGGTATTAGAAACAAATACAAAAGTAAGAGACCCAAACAAAAAGCTCTTATAGTTTGATTTATTTCTGCTTTATACATGTTTTAAAAGCATTTGCTTGTCGCAAGCCTCTATGATTTTCAATTTTTTTTCTTCTATTTTAGTTCTTTACTGGAAACCACATTATCCTCTTAACAGGAGTATGTACAATAAGTCTAAGCAACAAAATAATCCATCAGCATATTAAAGAAATTCTGGAGACATGTATTAAACAAAATTAGTAATTTACTAACCCCAATTGAAGTCACAAAATTGCAAACTGCACATTTCACAGAGCGTGCTCCATATTGGTACATCAAGAGCATTCGGCAGTTACCACAGTTAACATGTGCAACCTGGTTGGCTGCAAGAAAATACATATTGAATGAGTATAATGCCCCTAGCACTGATTTTCAGATTCTTTTAGTGTGCCCTATATCAGTCTAAATTCAATACATAAATAAGAAACTACAACTCCCCCCCCCCCTAAAAAAAAAAGAAAATTCAAAATTCAAGCTGATCCTCAGGGAGACTACAGAGGTTTCATTTACCATCATGAGTCTTATACCTTCCAAGGCTAGGTTGATAGTGTGACAACAAGAACATTGTACACTGGTTGCTCCACGAATGTACATCAACAAGGTATGGCAGCCTCCACAGACTAGCTGAGCCATTTCAGTGCCTATTCAGAGTCCAACACAATACAGAAGATGGTTACTACTATGTCCACACCAATTGTTAGTAACTGAGCTTCAAAAGAAACATGGAAAAAGAAATCCTTGTAATACCCATATGGGTAAAATATGCAGTGCCAGATGAAAACAATGGAAGAAAAAATAAAGAAGCATACCAGGAGGTGGAACAACTGTAACTGCATTGCAAACAGCACAACATACAGAGGTTGCTCCAATTGGATAGACAAGGAGATTTCGACAGCCAGAACAAACAAGTTGGCTCTGTGTACCTGGGAGTGACCACATATTTGTATATATTAGACCAGGATCTACATGTTTTCCACCTTCTTGTTCCTAAAGTTCTATTAAAAACTTGAATGGGTGCAAAAGCAGGAAAGCTACAATTGTATTCCTTTCAGCAGACGGATAGCACAGGGATTATCCAATCCAAGTCATGCCAGGAACATGAAAAGAGATCAGAACATGACCAACCATCACCATTGCCATCCAGACACTGACAACCATACTTCAATTTTAGTTCAGATCATATACTTCATCAATAACTATGTAAATTCCACTAAACCATCTTGACATCAGAAAATCTCTCCAACAGAGACCAGTATTGGATTTTACTCCAAATACCTTCTGAGAATTCCATCAATTGAAAGGATCCCAAATAACAACCCACCAACACAAATAATCGCCAAATCTTAAGAGAGAAATCTTGTTTCCATAAAAGATTTACATTGGGAAAATGAATATTTGGACGAGATAATGGATTATTCCAAGAATTAACCAAAAAAACGGATGGAAATCAGATATTGTTCTGAGGCTAAATTAGTAGGCAATCAGGGGAACTACCGTTAGGAGGCGTAAATGGTACTGGAGCCGTCGGGTACGGTGCGAGAGGAACTGGCATTGCTTATCTGACAACTTAAAATTCTTTCTCCAAGCTTTTGAAAAATTGCAGCTTCAAGCACAGCTAAATAAAACTCTGCCTTCCATTCCCTCCACTTCTGTAAAAATCAAAAAGAACAAGAGAAAAAAAAAAAACGAAAACTGACAAGCTCTTAGAGATAGAAGAAGGGGTCTGAGAAAACATTCTAAGAAATCTAATAAGTAACTACGTGCATTACAGAATACCCACTAAAACGAAGAACAAATAGAGAAAAAGAGATAAACCCATCACAGAACATCCAGTGACAGACCAAGGAGCCTTGTCTGAAAAGAGTCACATAATATACGACTAAAGAGTAGCTAATTCCCATTACTGAATTTCCGGTAATAACAGCAAGAAGCATACATGGCTCATACTTCATATATGGTATATATTAAAATTAGAATCTCATAAAAACCAATTGAACAACACCCATTTAAGAATTTTTCATTAAAAACCATACATGAAGCTGGAATTCAGCATCTATCCAGATACCCAGAAGGCCAGAGAACTTAGACTACCAATGAGATTTCGGAGGCAATAAACGGAGTTGAACTTTGTGAAGGGCAAACAGAACAAGAACATACCCTTTGCAGGCTACAAATGAAGTGGGCGAGGATTTCTGAGGATAACTTAAAAAACAGAGAGATGTAGAAGGAGAAAAGTCGGTGTTAAAAACATGGAAAGAGATCCTTTTACCTTTTTTTTTTTATTTTCTTCGTCTTACTTCTGCCTCTAGTTATTAAGAAGGTGGAACTTAGCTTTTAGCAAGAGAGAGAGAGTGAAGGAGGTGACTTGTTCCATTTATGTTGGTAGCACTTCAAGATCAGCTTCCTCACAGACTCAGTAAACCGTGGCATGCACGTGACTTGCACGTTCAATCACACGTTCTTTCTCCCTAGAACATTGGTCGGCCAAGGATGAGCCACGTATCCCGACACAACAATCAAAGCCGTCCATGACATGTTTCTATGGGTGCCGTGAATTCTCTCAGTCACAATATCCAATTTTTGCTGGTGGTCCCACCTTGTGATGTGCAATTACGTAATTTTCTTGATTATTTATTTGGCAATCATAAATTCATAGTTGAACTTGAATCGAATTTTCCTTTTATTTTTTAATACAAAACTGGACCGAATCGGAGGGTTGAACCATTCAACCGTTAATCAGAAGTGTCAAAATGGATGCAAAATTTGAGTCCTAATTTTAAAATACATGGGATGATTTTATATAAATATGATGATTAAAAAAGTAGTAAAATAAAATTGATATATTTATGGAAATTTAAGAATATTAACTTCAGGAAGTGATCGATTTATTAAAATGGGGAAATATAGAATAAGATGATTATATTAAAGTTTTTCTGGCATTCGATAAATTATTTTTAAATTTCATCAAACTGCTATATCGAAAATAGTAGAAAAGCTCGTAAGAAAGGAGTTGAAATCAGCACATCCCCGCCGTGTGTGTATTGGGAACATCTCCACATGATATACAAGAAATGATGAGGCATCATCTGGAGATGTTCTCAATACATGTTGGGGATGTACTGTGGAATGTTGTGGGAAATTATCTTGTGGGGGCTGATTTTAATTCATAAAAAAACTGAAAACGGCATAAGTTGAAGGAGTCTAGATTACTTACCTATGACAATTCTACCCACTCTACCAATATAATATCGCAGCCATACATGGAGAATATTTCATCCTCTTACATGTTATTCGTAGGAGATGCGGAGTCAGGTTGAGACATTAAGAAAAGATATCTGCAGACTGACACAGAGCACCTCACTCCGATCTCACATACACAACTCACCATGCATTGGGAACATCTCCTATAAATAATAACATATAAGTGCAGGAGATGTTCCCAATGCATAGGATGTGCATGTGAGGCGCCCTGAGTGAGGAGCAGATCCGGTCTCCTTTGTTATGTACAACTCCCTATAAATACAATATGATCTTGCTTCAACATTTGAGACATGAGTTGTACCATTGCTTGCTGGTTCGATTATTCAGGCCAAACACTAATAAAACCGTAGAAGCGTGGAAGTAATTGGTATTGTGTACTAACTATATATCACACGGAATTTGAGAATTGAGATTTGGTCCTCACACTGCTCTTGTAGGCTGTAGCCTTTTGTAGCTGTATATTGAGAACATCTTCGAATTTGTATGATTTTATTTATTGGGAGATTATTCTCCATGCACAACTGCAAATAGCTATGAGGACAGTCCTGTAAAAGTGTGAAGATTAAACCCGAATTCGTTGGATGGAGATAAAGTAGGGTGCAGTTTGAAGAGTTGAAACCCACTGGCCATACTATGGAGTGCCTAGGTTAGGAGTGGCAAGTGGGTGGATTGGATTGGGTTGAGTGCTGGTTGTACAGTAGTAATCCACCCATATTGACCCAACTGATCCATTCCCAGCTATATTTATTGAGTGTTAGTGGGTCACAATGCACATTGACCTTGATCCATCCTAACCCATTCATATGACCGGTTAACCCAGAAAAAGATATATTTCAACTGAAAACATAAAAAAAGATAAATATTGTAGAAAATATATAAAAACACTGAAAATACAAAAATTACAGGATAAGGCAAAAAAATTCAATATATATATATATATATATATTAAATTTGTAGAAAAACATAAAAAATTATAAAAAAATCAAGAAATTGCAAATAAATAATAAAAACAAAGGAAATTGTATAGATTGCAAAATAAAACAACAGAAATCATAAAAACAATGAAAATTATAGAAAACACTACAAAAAATACAGGAAGCACGGTCTAGGTTCCCTCGGTGACCAGTGAGTTTAATCAATTTGTTTGCTCCTACAATGGCTTCGAAGTGCTCAGACATCGTACAAGCATGGTGACGATTATACTATATGGTTTTCCGTATATATATCTCCCTTTCTATTGGGAGATATGGGACCTTATGATTTGGTTGAGAAGGTTGCTTCAGATCCAGGATTTATGGATCGCCATCTCTCTGTTAGATGAACCGAAGTAACAGATTTCCTGATCCAATTGTTCAAAGATCTCATTCAGCGGCTTTGAAACTTCAAGGGCCCTTAATGAATTAGGACTACCGTTGCCTTTTGATTAGAATCAATTAAGCAGAGCTAACTGAGATGCTAATAGGCCTTTTGCATGGTGGTAATCTTTCCGTTTCAGGAGCTTACCATAAGTTATGTTTGGTTTAAAGGAAAAAGTAGGGAAAGGAAAGAAAAGTTAGGAAAACCTTCACAAATCTTGTATAGGTTTCCTTACCTTTCCTTTCTTTTCCATACTTTTTTCCTTCAAACCAAACATAGCCTTAATGTTTTCATTGAAACTGATTAAGCAAATGGTGAAGTAGGAACCAAGTTTTTTACGTGCCTTAAGAGAGTTGACCCCTAAAAACTAACTGTTAGGAGGGAATCCAAGCACATATATACCCCACAACATTTCAGACTACCGATGTTGGATACTTCAAATTAGCATCCCATACTACCAACATGGGATAAATGGATCATAACAGTTTGCTGATAGTATTGGGTTCTTTCTTGGTCTACTATGGACTTAGATTGGATTTGGATTTAATCCGATTCTGATTATGGAAAGTTAAATACTTCAACTTTTATATATGATAAATTAATGTAAATATACATACTAAATTTATTATATATATAAATTCATATTATAATTTTATATTTTTTATAATTTTAAATATAATTATATAAAATTTATATATTAAAATCAATAAATATTATAATATAATCAGATTCAGATGTTAGTTGGATCAGATGGAGTCAACTCCAGATCCGATCCAATTATATAAGCACATCATCTGAATTTGAGATAATTGGATAGATGTGAGGGCCTCAAATTTTTAGGTATCATTGACAGACTAATATACATTGACCTTATGGGTATTCGGACCCAACCCACCCAATGTGTCACTTGACTGATATTGACCCACTGATTAAACAGGTGGGTCAAATGGGTTTAGATTAAAATTTCCTGCTCTAACCTAGTTCCTTAGGTTTAATATAATTACACACCTATTTTTGGGGGATATCAATTGACCATCTCAAATTGTTAAGTACATAGTTTAGGCCTTGTTTGTATGAAAGTACAAAAATACTATAGTATTTGTTTCATATACTATATTTCTGCTTTCATATTTTGTGTTTTTGATGAAATAGTACTTTCGTTTTGTATTAATTAAAAAGTTTTATGGGAAAATTATTTGAAGTGGTAAGAAATCATTCAAGGCCTTAGAGTTAGTAGGAAATATAACTCTTGATGTAGGGCAGAAGCCGATTCTAATAGACAATCCCAAATAGAGGGTTTCTCTGTAATGGAGCTCATGCTTGAGTATATATTTACTGGGCCATGTTTGATTTAAAAGAAAAGATAGGAAAAGGAAAGGAAAAATAGGTATGATTTTTCACAAGAATGCACAACATTGTATTTTTCTTCTGAAAATTGTATATTTTTGTTTCTAAATGTTATTAAATAACACGTCAATTGAGGTATGATTTTTGAATCTTTGACTTTTAATATTTTTAATGAAACAAAGTGTCGGTGAAACATATTTCTCCCCCTTTCCCCACCATCAACCCAAACTTTCAATTCAATTGTAGAGGCCATTGTAGTTATACTTTACTTTATAATTTTAGCTTTTGATATAATATTTTGAGAGAACAACTGTTCATCAGCACACTCTAAGAATTTTTAGCCCCACAATTGCAGTTGAGGTAGGTGCCAGCTCGGAATTGATGTCAATGCACGAATAGATATTGGTATTTTAGGGTGAGGGCATTTATCATTTTGAATTATATAAAATTACAGTGAAATTTAGAATTTAGCAAAATCTCCATTCGTTGTTTCTGGGTAATAAAACATTTCAGTACCTAATGTACTGAAAATCGTTCTTTGTCATTTTTTTATTATTATTTTAATTGAACAAGTTGGATGGTTATGTCACAACTGATAAATTGCTGGTGATTGTGAAATATGGGAGCCCTCTTGCACCATGCATCATTAATTATCACATACAACTATCGGGTCGAATAGTGATTACCAGTAGTGACAGTGATAGTGATGATACGATCAAAACCAATGTTCATGTACCTTTAAATTTAGGATGTTTTATCAGCCTACATTATATCTACAAATTTAAATATTTCTTCATTTTTCCTTTTTTTTTCGTGAAAAGATAAATTTTGTAAGTTAAAGCATGCATAAAATAGGAACATTTATGAGATAATACATGAAAAAGGCCAGAGTGGAGGAGAAAACAACCAGATTTTAAAAAAGTGACGAAGCTCTATTTTCTCTAATGGATTCCATAAGCTTTAGTATAGCATATCTTCCTTCTCATCTTCTCTCTATGGTCCTTCAACCCCGTCTTATGTAGTCTCTTTTGGTTTTATTAAAGAAAATATATATTAAAAAATGACAAAAGTCACCGGTGATATGTCATCTCTGGAAATTTCTTTATTTGAGCTCCAATAAATCCTCACCACCCCATCAATCCAACTCATCTTCGAGTACAGTTGAAGTAAGTGTCAGCTCAGAATTG